TCAATGATCTGAGAAGAACAGGAAGTGAGATAGGGAGAAAATAATGACAAAAAAGGCTTTATTTTCAAGGGCGTCATCACTGTGGACAACAGGAGCTTAATCCTCCTGTGGAAACCGAGGAGCCACGGTAAAATGTGTAGCTGAGTGAGGGAATTGTAATATCTACACACCAATTTCCGTCAGCCATTGGTTGTGGCTCTACCTATGCGTGATCACTCTCCAGCATTTTGGGCCTAGAAAATGTAGCCAAGAAGGTTTCAGAGTCGGAGAAAGCCCTCATGCAGAAAATGTACATGCTGGCATTTACGAATCAGTCAGATATGCATTGATGTGGGTGGAGTAAAAGGACATAGAGAGGAATCCACTAAATCCATCCAGGAATAAACAAATAAAATAGGAAAAAAAACCCACTGTTGAGATAAGTTAATACTTTTATTTTACCACTGTTTCTTTAGCCCTTTTATTCAGTCATCTACTTGTGTACATTAGGTGGGTAGTGTGCAAATTTTACAGTGTGCATTAACTCAAGTTCAATATTTGTAGTAACTAAACCATGCCTTGTTTTTCATCTCTCTGCTATTCCCTCCCTTTTCCCCAATTTCTCTGTGTATGAAGCTCGACTGACTTGTCAAAAGCTACCTCAAATGATATTTTTACAGTAAAATCTTTCCTAAACTTTAGTTAGAATCTATCACTTTCTACTGGCTGCTCCTGTAGAATTTTATCTATAGTTTTGTTTTGTCATCTTACCACGTTATAATATTATTTACAATCTGTCTGTTAACATATTGTGAACAGGGCTGGGTTCGGTGGCTCACACCTGTAATCCCAGCACTTTGGGAGGCCAAGGTGGGCAATGAGGTCAGGAGATCGAGACCATCCTGGCTAACATGGTGAAACCTTGTCTCTACTAAAAATACAAAAAATTAGCCAGGCGTGGTGGCGGGTGCCTGTAGTTCCAACTACTCGGGAGGCTGGGGCAGGAGAATGGCTTGAACCCGGGAGGTGGAGGTTGCAGTGAGCCGAGATCATGCCACTGCACTCCAGCCTGGGTGACAGAGCAAGACTCTGTCTTTAAAAAAAATATATATATATATATATATAAAATACATCTTTAAGATAATTTCTGTCTTACTCCTTTTTACTTATCCTGCAGTTGCCACAATAAAGGTTTACTCACATAATAAGCAAATACCTAAATAGACATGTCTGATTTTCTTACAATTTCTGATTTACAATTATGAAAGTGAATCTTTCTTTGAAAAAAATCATAAATGCCCCACATTTTTCAATGTACTTTTGGACATTTCTTAATAACTGTTTTTATAAATATAGACCATTATTATTATGTATGTTAAAGCACTTACAATTTTAATGTGTAAACGTAAAATCACATCTTATCAAACTATCAAATAATTTTTTAAGATAAAATTTATGAGTTTCTAATAAATATTACAGTATTGCTGCCCAGAAAGCACTAATAAAAATAAATTAACGGTATCATTTGTTACTTTAAAGGCTAGGAATTTCTAATATAAAGAAATGTAAGGAATAGTTCATAAGAACACATCCACTTCAAATTGTAAAAAAGAATTATCTATTGTTAAAGCGAACTAAATATGGCCTGGGAAGGACACTATACTTCTACATTTGAGTCCTTGTAGATGAACCATAACCTAACTTAATAGGTCGACAAGGTTGAAAATTAGGAGTATGCACCTGTAACAATCGCTGATGGAACAATCGCCAATCCAGCCAGCAGCCATACTTCAGCCACTCATACATTGTTTGAGTGTTCAAACTGTTCAAGTAAGGCAAACTTGTAACCAATCCAGTTGTTTCTGTAACTCACTTCCGATTTCTGTACATCATCTTCCTTTTTTTTTTGTCTATGAATCTTCTTCCACCATGTGGCTGTGCTGGTCTCTCTGAATCTGCTCCGATTCTGGGGGCTGATCCATGAATCATTAATTGCTCAAACTCCTTTAAATTTAATTCAGTTGGCTGGGTGCGGTGGCTCACGCCTGTAATCTCAGCACTTTGGGAGTCTGAGGAGAGCAGATCACCTGAGGTCAGGAGTTCGAGACCAGCCTGACCAACGTGGGTGAAACCCCGTCTCTACTAAAAATACAAAATTAGCTGGGTGTGGTGGTGCACGCCTGTAATCCCAGCTACTCGGGAGGCTGAGGCAGGAGAATTGCTTGAACCTGGGAGATGGAGATCGCAGTGAGGCGAGATTGCGCCACTGCACTCCAGCCTGGGCAACAAAAGCAAAACTCCGTCTCAAAAAACCCCAAAATTTAATTCAGCTAAAGTTTTTCTGTTAACAGTGTGTTATTATTTAACCTTTTTATGAAAGGCAAATAATATAAACAAGAACTTGGAATATTTGTGAATAATGTATAAATGAATGGTTTCTGTTTATTCTCTGTATTCTGTTAAAAGTTTTTGCTCTGGTCAATATATCTGGCCATAAAATTCTTTTATATCCTGTATAATTTAAAAAGCAAATTTGATGCATGTGCAACTTTATTTTTTTTGAGGCTATTTGTTACAGTGGAAATTGCATTAACAAGCCTCATGCGGCACATGTGGTGCCCAGAGCATTCTTCTGAAAGTTACGGTTTTGAAGGCAGTCGTTGGGGCGACATTGTCCTAATTAAAGTTCTCGGGCAGTTTTGCCGACGTTCAAAACCACTTTCCATTTTTGTCATTTTGTGGTAATATCTATCATTTATAAAAAGGAATTCCAACACCTTTTTCTTTTTTGAGATGGAGTCTCACTCTGCCACCCAGGCTGGAGTGAGTGGCGCGATCTCGGCTCACTGCAACTTCCATCTCCCAGGTTTCACCGTGTTAGGATGGTCTCGATCTCCTGACCTCGCGATCCGCCCGCCTCGGCCTCCCAAAGTGCTGGGATTACAGGCTTGAGCCACCACGCCCGGCCCCCAACACCTCTTATCTGTGATAATCTCCCAACGTTCCTGGTCAAAGCAGTTTGCACCCAAATTCCCAGACGTGGTCTTGGTGGGCCGCAGAGCTCCACTGCCGCACTTGCCTGCTGGGTTTGTTTAACGTGTAGCTTTACCCACCTTGAGGCAGAACTGCATGGGCCTGTGTTGGTGCCGACGCATGACCTGTGGTGCACGGAAGGAGAAAAGGTGAGTATCTCCCCACACCAGACCTCCGAGGTTCATAAATTATTTATCACATAATTCAACGTGCTGCCCCACTGGTCAGGGCCAGTTTCCAGTACGGAGACAAGGACACTTTAATCACGCTCTTCCCTGTAAAAGAGAAAGATTGGCGTTTCACAGAGAGCTGTGATAGGGATAGGGATAGGAGAGGGATGTAACTGCAGGGAAACCTCCACTGAGAATAGGAGTTGCTCATCAGTTCCAGACCCAACTGCATGGACTTAGGTAGTAACAGCATTAACAGCTCCTGAAGAGTTTGCCTCTATCACCAGCCTTGTGTGGGTCTTTATAACAAGCAGGACGTGGATACACATGTCTCTGTTTCATAATCAGAAAAGTATCACCATTTTCCTGGGACAAAAATATGTAAGTTTAAACATTTTTAGTGCCAGGTCAGTAGTCGCAACTTACCAATAGCATTTTTTATTTTAAAAATACAGCTAGTGACTACACCATTGGCTAACAAACTGAGACTTAAAGCATTTTCTAGACGCAAATGCTATAAATAAATTATTAGGTATGTTCACTAATATTTACAAACTTAACTTCATATATAAAGCAAGGTAAATCACCAGTGTGGCCATGCAAACAGGGTTTGAGGACTCCAGTATTTACAGCAAGCTAGTCCAACCCACAGCCCATGGGCCGCACGCAGCCGGATGGCTTTGAGAGAGGCCCAACACAAATTAGCAAATTAGTAAACTCACTTAAAATGATGGGATTTTTTAAATTTTAATTTTTATTTCTGCCGTTTTTTGCTTTGTTTGGTTTTTAGCTCATCGGCTTTGTTAGTGTTAGTGTATTCTATGTGTGACCCAAGACAATTCTTCCAGTATGGTCCAGGGAAGCCAAAAGATTGGACACTCTTGATTTAAAGGGAAGAGGGGTGGGCAGTGGAGGAAAGGGGGAAAAAAGAGAGAAGGTAGACAAAAGCGGTAAGTGGTTACAGTTTTTGGAGGCTTTGAGTAACACTTTCTGGATCTACATTTTACCTGTGAAACCAGTGGGTAGTGGAACAGTGAATTGTGCATTTGGCTCGTGCTCAGTGTGTCTGCATTTTTGCATAAGATAAAGTAAACATCGAGGAGGCGCTCAAATATACATTCCTCTCAGGTGAGGCAAGGGATGCCCTCTAGGCCTGTGTTTGTCAAGGTACCTTTGAAGATAAGCTGTTAGTTTGCATGCCAAGGTGAAATAGAATAGAATTCTGTTTTAGGGTAAAGATCTTGGGGCCCACGTGGAATTTCCTTGTGAGCAATTTGTGAAGGAGGCCGCTGGTGGAGACACGTAGGCCTTCTGTCTTCACAGCTATCTACTTAGGAACAAAATGGAAGGCAGTTTTTTGCAAGACGCAGTTACTGAGCTTCACTTTTCCCTTTGGTGTAGTGAGTTTGGGGTCCTGAGATATTTATGTTCCTTTCACAGCCTCACCATACTTGAATAAAAATTACAACCTACATGTTAAAACTGACCACATCACTCTCTCCTGTGTGTCTTCAAAAGAGGTAAGGCCCATCCAGATAATCCAAGATGATCTAATCTCAAAGCCTTAATTATATCTTTGATGACCCTTTTTCCAAATAAGGTCTAATTAGAGGTTCCTGGAATAAGACACGGACTTACCTCCCCAGGGGCCACCATTCAGCCTGATCCGGAAGGAAGGCCGTGATTTCAGCTCTCTGGGATTTGAGACAAAGAGGCCCCTTTTCTTTCATTTTGTCTTTTCATGTCTCTTCTTGCCATGGACCCACATGATTGTGTGTGGGCTGAGGGTGAATCCAAGAAGGCCTTTGTGTTGTGGTCAGTACAGGCTTTGGTCCAGAGAGACAACAATACTTTCAGTACTCTTTGGTTCTGCCCTAGAAGAGCTCAACACAGAGAACTGCCTGGAACAAGAAACTGGGTAAGTGTGCTTGGAACATACCCTTGTCTTCTCTTCTCTGGATTCTTGATTGCAACACTCTCCTCTGCCTGGATATTCACATGGCCTTACACTCTCTTCCTTCTCTTCTGTATGTCATTCAATGTTGGGCCCACCTAGATAACCCGAGATGATCTCATCCTGACATCCTTAATTATATCTGCAAAGAACATTTTCCTAAATAAGGTCACAGGCACAGTTTTGGGGGACTAGAATATGGATATATCTTTTTGGAGACTGTGATTTAACTCACTATAGGCTAAATTCTCAGCCCTAAAAAGGGTCCTACACAAAGTGAGGGCACTCAATGGAAGGAAGGTCTCTGAGACGTGAGATAGGAACATGTGAACGGAACCTTCAACCTACAGATTGTCCAGGACTGTCTGGTCCGGAGAAGGGACTCCTCCCTCTCTCAGGTTCAGACCCCCAGGTCCTGGAGATTAGGCAAAGCCTGGGTTTGTTCTTTGCATGAAATTAAGTAGTCTTAGTGGTCCATTGCAGGGGTCTCTATTTGTGATTGACCTTTTCGTATTTCTTGCTTTATGTGCTTATCTATATGTCAGGCGTGTCCGTGCAAAGAGATCACCAAACAGGATTCACTTGGGTGCAAATGGGCTGAGTCCGAACAGAGAGTCAGCGAGGGGAGATGGGGAAGGGGTTGCTTCATAGGAGTTGGGTAGGTAACGGAAAATTACAGCCAAAGGGGGTTATCCATTGTTAGCAGAGGAGGGGGTTACAGGGTACATGGTGGGGAGATCGTAAGTCTCAGTGTCCAGAAGAAGGATGTCACAAGGTCGATTGATCAGCTAAGGTAGGGCAGGGACAAGTCACAACAGTAAAATATTGTAATGTCAGTTAATCAGTTAAGGCAAGAACTGGCTGTTTCACTTCTTTGTAGTGTTTTTCTTTGGCTGTTCCAGACTTCTTGGCTCCTGCAGGCCACCTGGGTGTGTATGTGCAGGTCACAGGGGGTTATAATGGCTGAGCTTCAGCTTAGAGACCTGACACTATATTCTCTGTTTTTTTTCTTCAATAAGGTAGTTTACTTATTAAATTCTTCCCAAAAGATACAGCTCTTGAATTAAAAAGTACTACTACTACTACCATTTTGCTTTAGTCACTAAGTTCTGCCTTTATTTTTTTGTCTGTCTTTTATGTTTTTGTCTATATTTTGTTGATATTTTAAAGTTTTTTCTTGTTTGTATTAATATGATTATTTAAGGCTCTAGAATTTCTTCTGAGTGCAGATCTACCTGGGTCATACAGAAGTTTTCATATGTGGTCAGTTGTTTTACAAATATTCAACGTTTTTGGCCCTTAATGATACAAGAAAACTTTCAAAAACTGTATGTTTTGTAGCGTTTTGGAGTTTTAATGCTTATTTAACTTCACTGCATTTTAATTAAAGAATAAAAAAATAGTTTTTAGAAATCATTGAAGTTTTGTGGTCTGAAATATAGTCTTTTTTATGATCTGTGGAATTTGAAGAAAAAAGCATTCTATATTTATATACAGATATAGATCTATATCTATCTATATATCTATATATAGATCTACAGATCTATATATCTATGTATATGTATATATAGTTGCACCAGGCCCCTGGCTGCAACTTTTCATACCCTATCTATAGATCTGTAGATCTATATCTATATCTATATATATTTTGAGGCAGAGTCTTGCTCTGTCGCCCAGGGTGGAGTGCAGTGGTGTGATCTCGGCTCACTGCAAGCTCCGCTTCCCGGGTTCATGCCATTCTCCTGCCTCAGCCTCCTGAGTAGCTGGGACTACAGGCGCCCGCCACCATGCCCGGCTAATTTTTTGTATTTTCAGTAGAGACAGAGTTTCACCGTGTTAGCCAGGATGGTCTTGATCTCCTGACCTCGTGATCTGCCCGCCTCGGCCTCCCAAAGTGCTGGCATTACAGGTGTGAGCCACTGCGCCCAGCCTACTTTTGTTTTAAGAGCACTGATGTTCTGTTATTTAATCTCTACAGTTCATAACTGGTATATCTTCATTGTGAATCACACACTTAATTTTTCTTTTCTGTTCCTTTTTCTTACTTCTGTGCTTTTTCTGCCCTGTGTATTAAAGAGAAGAAAATCAGTGATGCCACACAGAACACTCCGTAGTAGTCAGATCACAGCGATGGTTTTAACATTTGTGGTGCTGACATTCTGTTCCTGTTCTTTCACTGAGTTCTCCCACCATCAGACAGGTTCCATGCTCATCACCAGGCCCCTGGCTGCAACTTTTCATACCCTATCAACATCGGTTCACTGATGTTTGTTGTTTGCTAGATTTTTCAAGCAGTTCCATATAAACAATGTTCCCATATTTTTAAACATTCAAAAATCAGTTTGTGTTGCTTTTAGACTTGATTGAAAGAATAGTTGGTATAACGTCTCTGGGTTGCAATTTCTTGGTGCAAAATTTCACAGGTCTCAGCTCTTCCAATATTGAATACTGCTACACACTGACCTTGTGATTACAGATTCAAGCTGCCATCAGCCTTGCAAGACACAGACAACTTTAATCTGATGCCACATTTACTGGACTTTAAAGGTGGACACAGGCCAGGAGACACAGCTGGTGCCCTGGGGCACCCACAGCTCCCTTTGCCCTCTCACCTATCCAGGGCCTGTGTGGCTGCCACAAACAAGAGTCAGGGTGCTTGTGGGCCACCTGGATAATCAGAAACCACAGCCTTGATTTCCCAACAATTTTTTATACTGTTTCTAGACACAAAGCTACAAGCCACATATTAATTAACAGCCCCCCTGTTCCAAGGGCAATGGAACATAGGTGATGGGGGAGACATTCCACATCTATTTCAAATCTGTCATTTCCAAGAGTGTCTGTTAGCTTCTGTTGATTAGGAAATTATCCCCACTTTAGTCACTTAAAACAGCAACAGTTTGTTAACCTAAGGATCTGCTGAAGAGTTCCCATGGTCTAGACTGGTTCCTGCTAATCTCGCCCAGGCTTGCTCACGTGTCTGCAGTGCCGTAGCAGATGGCAGAGGGCGACTAGCCCCTCGTAGCCTGCCTGTGATCTGGTGGTTGGCCATTGGCCTCTGGCTCAGCGTGGTGATTGTTTCATTATTTTGCATTCTTTTGTTGTTGTTTTTTGTTGTGGGTTTTTTTTTTTTTTTTTTGGAGATAGGGTTTCACTCTGTCACCCAGACTGGAGTGCAGTGACATGGTCTCAGCTTACAGCAACCTCTGTCTCTCAGGCTCAAGTAATTCTCCCGCCTCTGCCTCCCAAGTAGCTGGGATTACAGGCAAGTGCCACCACCGCCCAGCTAATTTTTGTATTTTTAGTAGAGGTGGGGTTTCACTGTGTTGCCCCGGGTGGTCTCGAACTCCTGGCCTCAAATGATCTAGCCGCCTCACCTTCCCAAAGTGCTGGGATTACAGGTGTGAGCCACCGCGCCTGGCCTGTTGCTGTTAATAATGATAAAATATTTGGTTCAGCTTCTCAATGGCCACATTTTACAGTTTCGGATGCACTTTCTGGACTGGACTGGTGTAACTCTGCTTATTTTGCATTGTTTGAAGGCATTTCTAATTAATTCTGATTCCTCATTTCAGACTATGTTTTGTTTTTCCTGAACCATCTCTTTCCTTGTAGGTAGAGGCAGCATTTCACGGAGGGCCAGGTCCCTGGCTAGGACAAGATAGAGCCACAGAGTCATATTCGGTCTCCAGCAGCCATTATTCTGCCCCAGCCTGCCGTTTGGCTGTGGTGGGTTTGGTGGCCCACGTCTAACTCTACCTCTGTTTCTAGACTGTGACCCGGGATCAGGGGAAATTAGTAGACAGCCCATGCCTCCAGTGCCACTGTGGTGAGCCCTGTAGGACGGGCCCCTCACACTGGGCTTTCTGGTGTCTGTGGCCTCTGGTGTCTGTGGTCCGCGCTCTGCTCCTCCCCACAAGTGGCCGTGCTCCGTTTGCCCTGGGCTGGCGGACTTTTCCCTGTCCTGTGGTTTGGCGTTTTACCTCACTGCGTTTTCGTTCAACGTAGAATTCTCCTTTCTGTTTCAAGGTCTGTGGATGATTTTGGGAGAACGTTCTTTTTTTCA